TTTTATATAACATTGCATATGTGCTCTATATACAATGTATTGTCGTTTCATTGTAATTCTTAAATATCAATTTAAAATACATTTCTGAATAATTGCAGTCATGTGGTAGAATAATAGTCAGAAAATAATATGTTTAACAACAAAACCAAACAAGAAAAAAAATCGAACATTGAATCTGGATGCGTGTTTTTGAGACTTACGTCGTCCTCTTCTTGATTGTATAGCTGGAGGTAGTGGATGACGCCCTATCGGGAGATACCTTCTCTGATATTTCTCTGTACAGGAAGTCCACGTGGTCTGACGGATTGGAACCGGGATCAGCATCATGTACCTCCACCTTCAGTTTCACTGATCCCTGTTTGGTGGAATAATAGGTCAGACTAACAAAATTACAAATGGCGGATAATGATTTGTAAATAAAACGTTACTTAAGGATATATGCTTCTTCGATATGACGTGAATACAATTCCACAAGAAAGCATGTAGCATATCATGTAACAGTCAATAAACTAATGACGAACAGGAATATTTTATAAGCATTGATAAAACTTATAAATAACACTGTCGTATAATATAATGATTATAAGTCACTTTTATACAGAAAACTTTATCACATATTGTTTTGAAGGTTTACCTTTTACTTTATTTTCAAGACCGACTGGTTCTCCTTCTCGACCCAAATGTGAAAATATGATATTAATTAAACATAATTATTCTATTGAATATAAATAATTAGGTACATGCTCATAGTTTGAACTATTCAGATCATACACCTTCACATACATTGTGATATTATGCCCAAGTCAATTGACATACATTTATCTTACCTGTAATTGACTATATGTATTTGATACTAACGCTACCTGTCGTTGTAGCCTCGGGCAACTACATATTAATCTGTCTTCTGGGCCATAATTGAGGTCAGATATGAACATGGTTTGACACATGCTGATTTCGATCATAAATCAGCATATTGAACAAGCCCTTTTTAATGTGATATCAATATAAGATGTGTGTATACAGTGAAAGAAGATAATATTTTTTTTTTTTTTTTTAGGATTAGTTTTTGCCTTCTTGCACAGTAATAAATGTAAAGCCTTTTTTTCCCAGTAGTATATTAGCTTATATACATCTTTCGTTTGGGATTTTATTTGCTTTATTTAGAAGCCATGTCGATATCAGTCACGATTTGTGAATATCATACAACAGATTCCAACATTATCGTTTACAATAGAGGCAGAGCAATCTTTTATTTTCAATTTTCTAGACAATCAACTGGAATTCTTTTTAATGATCTTTTGTGAAATATTTTCAGGAAAAATGCAGAACAAATATAGCATCCTACGATTAAAAACAATTGGTTTGGTGCTTAAATGACCTCAATGTATTAATTATATTTGTAATCATAGATAATTCTTCATAATCGTTCAGAATCATATAACATACCGGCCAGGATTTCATTCGGAAAAACATTGGATTTTTCACTCCTCCAAAGGATGATCCGAATGTAATTGTGTCAGCATCTGGTATTTCCGATGATTTGAATCTTCCAAAGGGACAATCCCGTATGTTGTTTGCTCTAAAAATCAAACACAAGAAAAAAACTTGTAAATAATGAATCATTGCGTCGTGGTTTATTGTAAATTCAAAACGTTAACCAATAATCAACAATATATTATCAAACTTTCAATCTAGTACATGTGAACATTTTGTCATCAAAACCATAGCAACATTCACTTTCAGCTTTATGTTTGTAAATTCGGCATTCCAAACTTCGTATGGAACAATTATTATAGCTAATTGCGAAATGAAAAGTAGATCCTGAAGTTTGAATTATCAATACATATATTGGATTAGATTCTTATCTTTATATTCGCCTGTTTGTACATATGCATATTTCGGTTGAATGAGACGTTATACCAACCTTTTCACTATGAGACGATATTTTAAGGTTTTGCCTAATCACTTGTGTGATTTGCAAGTGTTCACTATTAGATTATATTTTAGGATTACTTTATTTTAAGTTTCATTAAAAAAAAAAAAAAAAGTTAAAGTTTAAGTTTAAAAAATTTAAGTTTCATTGACTGTGATGATACCATATACGGCATAGTTATAATGTTATCTAAAATTGCTGTCATTCATGTATATGTGTTTTGGTGCAAGGCCATATTGTAAATTAGACAATGTCTAAATATGTATCCCTGGTTAAAAAAGGATATTATTATTATCATTATTATTACCAAGAAACGTGTATTGCGTCAGATGTTGAACCAACCCTTTGACTTACAAGACATGGAGATTGCATATGAGATGATGTGCCAATATATATTGTACCTACCCGGTCGCCTTATCAAGACAAATGTTAAACTTGTGATCACACGCTGAGAAACAGAACACAGATCTGCCATCACAACACTCGCCATTGCTTCCTTCCCCCTCTGAGTTCTTGTAGTGGACGAACTTCACCTCGAGGGTCACCCCAGCCGTGATGGTCTGAAAAACAGTCAGTTAAATGTATTATATTGCCCCGAGCCAGCAATACGATTGGGCAAACGTTAAGAAAGCTCATATATAGATATAACCTATTTTTAACAGAATGTGACGAGGGAAGCTGCAATAAAGGGGAACACAGACAAACATTTAAGTGGTAACGTCACGCTACCACAATTGGTACAAATTTAATTTTAAAATACAATTCGAACACTTTTCTGACCGTGTACCAATTAGGGTAGTGTACCAATTGTGGTAGCGTGACGTTATGTTGCAAGTAGCAGTATTTCAAGTGGTTTGAGTTCAAAATATGTTGTTTATGACGCTGTGGCATACCTCCATCAGTAGTAAAGAAGGAACTCGGTAGCTGAACTATTTTCCACTTCATGATAAAGAAGCATGTAAATATATATATATATTGTAATTATAGACCTGGTACACAGCATTGAGCCATGTAACGCCACATTCAACTATT